AGAGCAGCTCTCGTACATCCATCCCCTAATCCCTTTCCTCGAAAACCTCAACAATCCCTAAGCCCCAAGTCCTAAACCCATAGGAACCAGAAAACAAGTCAATGGAACAACCACACAGAATTGCTTTGCCGCTGCGTCTTAATTTCGGGCTTGGGTTCAAGGTTTACAGGGTTAAGGGGGCGTTTTATAGGGTTAAGGGATGTTTAAGGATTATAGGGCTAAGGGATGTTTAGGGTTTATAGGGTTTAGGGTTCAGGGTTTAGCTTTGGCGCCAAAACTATGGAAAGAACTTTCGAGGTTGCTTCTCGTCAAATGTTCCCCACAAACACAACTTCAAGAAACACCCACATCTGTGATGGCTTGTTAGGGTCCTGCCTGTCCGCATTCCAGTCCTCCATTCTCAACTCTAGACCTCTGTATGCACTCTAATAGGAAAACCTCCTTCACACTATGAATCACCCTTGTCATACTCTATTTCCCAAACCAAACACATGTACAGCCCTTCCAAACCCTTGATTATACTATATTACTACAGGGAGCTTTTCCTTCTTCCCTGCCACCCCCATATTATTCCCTCATTCCCTACTAACCTTACCCTAAACCCTATAACCCTATAATATCTATTCCCTTATTCCCTACCAGCCCTAAACCCTAAACCCTAATACCCTAAACCCTAAACCCTAAACCCCAACACCCTAACCCCTAATACCCTGATACCCTAAATGCTAACCCCTAGTAACAATGTCCGATGCCTCGGATGGGGACGGCCAGCACGGTTCCCGGCGGTGCCCCGTCGGGCACGGTCACTGTGACCTTCAGGGCTTAGGGATTATAGGGTTTAGGGTTTAGGAGCCTGGGCTGGGCTTCTGCCAAAGGCTTCAAATTAAGTTACCATAGAAATGGGTATATGGCAAATGATAGGGTTTCCTTCTTCTAGTACTTAACTTGATTTAAGGTCCTTAACTGCAACCCAGTACAGGTTTATGGGTGGTACTTTAAAGAAAAGGACTTATAGGGCCCCTTATACCAAACCTAGGGAATTATGTATCATTCTAAGGTGCCACCTAGGGTTAGGGTTACGGCAAAGCTTGAAGTTCAGGGCTGAAATTACATGGCAGAGACATCTTCCACACAGTCAAGGTGGAGCTCTTCAAAAATTGGAATCCCTGGCCTACTGAAAGGAGAGAACCATTTTGAAGAAGCCCCAAAAATGGAGTGTGTTGGGGGTTGTAGAGGGCGTACTTCGACGAGATCAGATCTTTGAGCTCTGGCTCTTGTCCTGGTGCTCTAGGGCTGCTACAACTACCGCCTACTTGCAGTGAGGTCTTAAGCCTGTACATCTGGGAAGTTCTGGAGCATTGGGACCCAAACAGGCTTTTCGGCTTCAGGTTTGCTTGGCCCAGGAAGGGAATGTAGGTACTACTATAACGGATTGCCTCAAGGGTCCGTGTATGTGTACAGTATATACTGAGGGCCCAAAGGGGCTCCCTTATAGCTTCTTTGGGGCCAAGTGCATGCCCAAGAACCCAGCCAGGCTCAACTTCGATATATTACCCCGACCTTTCTTTGAACAAGCAACCTGCGCATGCCAATGATTGCCGATATCTTCCAAAGGTTTCACGGCCCCTTTGAACGAGGGTCGGTATAACCAAACTCCTAGTGTCTTCAGGCAATTTTGAGGGCCCCCCGGTCAGAGTACACTGAAGAGCAGACGGTGCGAGCCTGCGTACCCTGCTTCTTCCGCTCGGACATCGCTTACTACACCAGTCATGCGGCCATTGTAGGCATGACTTTTCAAATAGCTGGACACTGGGGTAAGGGTTTCTTGCGGGTCTAGAGGCTAGAGCTTCTGAAGCTGAGGTCTTCGAAGCGATTGGGTGCAACCTGGTATTTAGAAAACAAGCTTGCAAGGTTGCAATTGAGTTGGCGCTGTCTTGGGTTGGAGTGCAGGCAACATCAGAGCACCCATCTTGCACCTGCAACCTACAATGTCGAGTCAAGTCGTGACAATGATGGAGCAGCACTAAAAAATTGAGAAGTGGTGCTGGATCTTAACAGTCTACAGTCTACAGTTCTGCTCCAAAATAGGAAAATGCAAGTGGGCATTTCTGCTACCATTGCTCACATCTTTCATGCTTTCGTACTCTTCTGTCCGAGCCAGACCACGGGCAAATAGAATGAGCAACCTCCTCGTGCTTGACGTGCCTTTACACGAGCACTATCAGAACGGTTTCGTACAATTCCGACACGAAGGACCATGTCATGCAACCTGAGCCGGGGAGCGAGCATCCGCAAACCCTCCGCTGCATCCCAGAGTAAGGCTGGCCTGCGGTTGCTCACCTATCTTTGCGCCTTGAGGCATGAGTAGGCCCCTGCTAACAGGCCCTGATGCCGGTTGATGCTGCTTTTCATGCCGTTAGCTGTGGCCCTCCCGGCTTGCTTTTGGCAAGTCTGAGGAGGCGTCAGTGCCTTGTTTCCCTGGCTTGCGGTGCTGGGCGACCTGGTTGCCGAGGATCTCTTTCTTGTAGGTATCTGCTACAACCTCTCGTGCCCGAGACTCGCCTCGCCGCAAATAGGTGCTGGTGACTAATGGTCCCTGGTTTGTTTTCTGCCGTATCTGTACTTCTTTGAGTGTGTGTCCTGCTTGTCGGCATTCATCCGCTTGACAATGCTACGCATGCTCATTCTTTCAGCCCTGGCTGCTCTGGTAGCTGCCCGCTGGGAAGGCCGATGCTCCCTGCTGTTGCTTCTGAAAAGGATCTATGTCGAACAATTACGAGTACCTGTCTGCATCCTGAGACGTGCCTTAAGGTGCAAGTGCCTATCGACTCCAACATATAATGTTTTGTGGCGGCCCGTATTCAGCATCATTACGTTAGTAGCTAATGGCATCTTGATGGCATGCGAGTAGATCTCAACATTTGAAAGCCCAGCAGTCATGTCTGGGGTCCTTGCACAAATCTGATTCCCTGCATCTTGCTACAGACCCCTGCCATCAGACTTTCACTTTCGTTTCTTCCATGCCATCATCCACCGCTAATTCAAAGATAGGCAGCTGAGGAATGCCACAGGCTTGGGAATGTCATCCATGATGAACCCCAGTCCTTCCCCGCTAAACCCGCGATGGAGTTCCACTGGGAATCCTAAAGCCGCCCAGCCCTAAATCCTAAGCCTTGTAACCCCAAACTTCAAAAGGTAAACTGCTCCAAGCCATCCCGCTCACTCACAGCGCAGCTGAAGGCTTCCTGGCCAAGACTGCCAGTACTCCCCCCTCCCATGTTTCACAAGGAATAAAGGAACAAAGTATTCAGGAATAGTATAGAGATCATATTCCCTGATTCCCTACCAACCACTAGTAAGTAGCGATGCGCAGGGGCGCTCATTAAGCAAGTACAGAAACTTCTTTGCGGGCCGTGGCTGTTCCTAGGGATGCATGAAACTAAATTCTAACAGGTTCTGTCCTTGACATGTCAACCTCGGCCCTATCCCTGGGAAGTACATGCCCTTAGCTAATCAAAACCCACCTAGCCGCGGTCCATCAAAGGCAAGAAACAACGTCCCTGCTTTTCACCTGGACATCGTAGACTATGCCACCAAATATGAACCGACCATGACAAGGAAGTCTGGACGCTATAGCCCAGACGTGTATTTAACATGCGACTCTACACGCCTGAACCGACAAACTTCAGGGTAGAACGCCAGCAGCGCCCCAAAACCAGGCTTTCATTATGGAGAGGTAGTGTTATCTACAAAGACAGCTACATGGGACCATAGGATGCCAACAGGTTATAACTTGGGCTTCCCTACCTAACCCAGAGAGACATCCTTCCAAAGCCCGAGGGCTTTGTCTCAGAGCCTAGGCCCTATAGGTAGGGCAGAAACATCAATTATCTAAACACAAGGTTTGGGGTTTGTACAGGGGTACTCAATGGTTTTAAGCGGTTCAGGGTTTAGGGAAGCCATTTTTGGCTACCTCCGCACCAGCTTGCCACCAAATTGTAGAGGCATGTACAACAATCACAGATGCAAGATGCAGACTCAATTTGAGGTGCCGCTTGCAGAGGGAGATGTGCTTGTCCCCAACTTCGGCCCATCCCCCTGTTGTTACTTCACCTCCACCAAATAAGACACATGCAGTCAAAATGCTGAGTATGCTGTGTTCGTACTGCGCCTGCTATGTAACCAACTGGCGGGAAACGCATGTAGCTCGGGGCATAGGTGCAAGGCCCAGACACCTGTGTAACAGCTTGGGCTACTACGTTGAGCTTTGCATAGACCTGACGAATACCCGTACTAGCCTGCATGTCCATACTTTTGGATAAAGGCCACTACTGTGGGAACTTAGAAGGTCCAAGTAAGCTAAGGCCATGAAGTGCGGTTGAAGGTTCGGGGGTCGGGGGGTCACGACGATCTGTAACACCTTGACAACTTGGTCGTTTCCATAGATGAGGAGATCCCACTATAGACCCCCAACTACTATTATCCTTACCATGCGGAGACGCAAAAAGGGACCCCTAAATTTGGAACCCCCACATCCTAAACCCCAAACCCTATTTAATTATCATACCTGCCTCTATCTCACCATATAGTGCTTATGTAAAACGTCTGGAGTAGCTATCCTAAACCTTGTTAGCTGAACCTTGGAAACTCCCATGTAGGGCTCAGGGTTGCGGCTATGTACACGCAAGAAAGGACCCACGTGGATCATTCCACTGGCCTGCTTTCCAGGAAGTTCCGGTGAAAAAGAGTGTAGGGTTTAGGGTCTTACCTTAAGGGTCCAAGTACCCACTATTTGAGGTGCCTGGGATGTGGATAGCGGTAGCTATAGTACGGCTTTTGTGAGTACATGATTATTCAGGTGAGTACTTGGAACCTTAGGGTTATAGGCCGAAAGCGAAAGCCCGGACTCCAAACATCAGCCTGCTACACTGAAACTGTTTCTGAGTGCCTGGGCTCAAAGACAGCGTATATGCCAGGCCTGTACCCTAAACCCTGAATCTCTAGCTGGCATCTGCCGTCGTCGTCTCATCCTGCACTGGAAGCTGCACAGTCGGCGCAGGATCAGCATCTCCATTCGAATAGCCTGCAGTCAACGTCTGAGGTTTAAGGGCTTATAGGATAAAATCATGCGCGACAACTCAAAACTTGTTGAATTCCTAACAATCGGGAAGGCCAAGGAGCGCGGCAGTCCTGACAAGATAGATTTGCCTTTGAGAGATACAGCCAAATGGTTTCTACACAAGCTCTGTCTACATTGATTCCTGCAGCTGCTGCTGGAATCTCCTCAAGGGCTCCTAGCAAAACTCGCACGAGGGAAGGAATCTAAAAGCCTAACATTCAGCAAGTTGGTTCCAGAAGTTTAGCCCGTCTTAAACAACATAAAGACCAGCTTCTATTTGATTCTCCTGTAGTTCAAGTAATACCTAAACTCTCAGCCCTCAACCCTAAAACCTAAAGCCCCAAACCCCCAAACCCTAAACTTGTCTAGGGATCTCTCCCAGAAGGGGGGGTTCCTTATGGGTCTTTGGATGAAGATTAGATGGCCCAAAGGGTCCATGTAGGGTGAATAATTAATACGATAATACGTACTTAGGGTCTGAAGGGGATTCCATATAACAACTTTGGGGCCCAAGTAGATACGAAAAACAAAATTGGGTGGAGAGCATATAATTTACTGTTATCTGGGCTACGTAGGGCACATTTCAAGACACTCCGATCAATCTAAAGTCTAAAGGTCTTGACTCACAATATGACCTAGACTCTAGACCAAATCCTAAATGCGCAGTTAAGGGTTCAGTTTTTTAGGATTTAGGGTGCCAATCCCTACACAAGTGAGAGCTCTGCACACCTCATGCAGCGCGCATCTGAAATCTGCACGCTCCCGACCCGTCTCGCCGCTCTCAATTCTAAACCATAGTTTGGGTACTGCCCCCCCCCNNTAACAGTTGGACAATAAATATAATAGGGTTATATATAGCCCTTAATAGGACCCCTAATATAGACTGTTACTGGGAGGGGGCAGTACCCAAACCATAATACCTATGACTGTCAAGGAGCCTCTGTCTCAGCACCCAATCTAATTCTAACTGCCGCTAAGGGAGGGAGCAAGGGAATGGGTCCCCAAAGTAGGCCCGTAGACCGCATGAAACCTCACAAAACGGTTCCTGCAACTGACAATGTTACAGTACTTCCAGACTGCTTTCCACATACACCACCATGCAAGTTGAAATGGCGCAAGCTGACTCAGTGTCACCCCACTCCGAGAAACAAAACTAAACCCTGAACCCGCAACCCTCAACCAAAAACCCCACACTTTTAGTTAAACCATGATCCCTATGGAAAAGGCAGCCTTGGGTTGACCAATGACCCGTTGGCGGCGTTGGGACGTCGCAGTCCGGATAGCAGTAGTACCAGCCAGTGGTGGAATCCTTCGCTTTGGGACGAGGGCTTCATGCAGAAGCCTGAAGAAGTACGCCCTGCCCTGCAATCATAAAAACCCCACCTCGCTTATAGTACCACCCCCGCAATATGGTACCAGTACATGTTAAGGGGAAGTAGTAGTAGTAGTTGTTGTTGGGGGGGGTGTTTTTGATGGAAGGGGATTACCAGTATCCTTTTGATCAGGGGCCTCAAAAAGGTAGGATGAAGGTCGGTGGGTTAAAGGGTCCCTAGTATGTACTCCAATATATTTGGGTTTATTTCTTTACCCCACCTTTTGAGCCCTCTGATTTGATGTCTATTTGATTGATGTATTCTTCACCTTGAGTATACAAGGAGTCTAGGACCATGATATTAGCTACTACCTAAACCCTATTCCGTAAACTATGTAGGCCACCACAGTAGAGCTCAGGGTTTCAGGTTTCGCCCCTTGCCGACACGAGGATTGCCGTGCAAGCAAGTCTATAGCTGGTTTCAAGGAATTTGTATTTCTATTATTGCTACTAGTGTTATCATTCTTGCTAGGTGGTTCTCAAACAGCTGTAAGACTATGATTGCTATTTTTACAATTGCTACTATCAGTACGATTGCTACTATGTGATCCATGACTGTCAAAGACTCACGCGGACGTTCCAAGTTACATTGGCTAAACACATTTTTGCAATGGCCTGAGTCTTGGCTTCCACCCAACCCTAATCCCTGAACCCTACATTTTAGGATTTGAGCAGTCCTTGAATTTCAAGTCTATGTCTGACAGTACCTGCCAGACTCCTGAAAGAAACCTATCCCAATACCTCAGGACGCGCTGTCCATACCACAACCCTGACGACAAACTGGATTTTGCCAGCCCTTGCCTGGTGATTGATCTTCCAGCGGCCTAGCGCACGACAAGGTAAATCGCCAGATGTACATGCAAAACACCAGCGCGCACGCACACATGCAGCTTCGTGGTTATAGTCTGACAGCTCATACTGCAAAGCATGTGATCAACATGCAGCTTTGGGCCATGGAGCCCTGCAGGCATCAAGCACGAAGTCAGCCCTGCCTGCGTAGTACCATTCATATTATAGTATTTGCGCCCCAAAACCCTTTTATTTGGGTCCTTGGACCCTTAGGGTATCAACATGATGCAGCCCCGCCTGCGTAGTACATGATTGCAGAGCCCCCCTGCTTCTTGAACTTTGGCTTTCCATTGAAGCAGCCCTCAATGTGGTAGCGTCCGTTGCCTAACATACTCAGGATTTGCCATCAGCTTTGTTTAGGGTTGAGCGAGGGGGCTTTAGGGTGGCCATACTAAGGATGCCCCATGCAAAGGCGACACTTTCAGAGATGCCGGTCCCGCATGACCCGGAAGGGTGAACTGTCTATGAACTGTCAGCAAGGCATTACATCCTGAACGTAAATAATGCCCCCCGAACACTTTCAGCAAATGATTCATACCAGTATGAGTAAGAAAAAAAGCATTACTATTCCCGTTCCTACAAATTCTACAACTATTATAAGCCATAAGCCAAAAGCCAACGAAGGGTCCAGTTGCAAGAGTCACCCACTCCTCCAGCACCCTGCACCAGTACAGAAGTAACTCGGCCCACAAGCCTCAGGTCGTACCTCAGTAGTCTTTTGGCGATCCAAGTCAAGTAATCGATTAAGCTTACTGGGGTTTAGTAGGGAATAATGGAATACATTACATAGGGATTCTATAGGGGCTATATTCCCTTATTCCCTACTAAGAACCACTACGGTTCAAGTAATTAAAAGAATGCACGTGCAGCGCAGCAGATGCGCAAGTATTGTGTACATGGCAGAGCCTAGCCAATGAAGCCCCTTTCTGGCGGTTTAGGGTTTAGGGTTTAGGATGAGAAATGCCCCCACCTTGGACTTATCGATCTGCGCGTTCCCGATGCAAGCTTCTGTCAGCTTAAACGACTCCAAAAATCCCTGTGCCAGGAGGCGAGAGCAGTCAAAACTACATTGAGAAGACGGCCATACAGTCTGCGCCGTAATTGATAAGCAAACTAAGAATGAGCACAATACTACGTGTAATGAAGCCCAGGAGCTCCAAGCCTACAAGCACGGCTTACTTTGAGGTCTAAGAGTTAAGGTAAGTATAAGGTATACCTAAACCTCAAAAGGTAGGCAACATAATGGCCCGAAACCCCTAAAACTTGCCCAAAAAACAATTTGTCTGCATACTTTCGGGGTTCAGGTACTAAACTCCTTGTTCCGGGCTCCAGGATACTGTACAAGACCAAGACACTTGCCCTCCGCACCCACGCGGTACTTTGCGCGCAGGCCATGATCCCATTCCTAGCGCCGGGATGTGACAAGACATGTGGGTTCCTCACAACCAAAGCGTCCATGTAGGTGAATAGTACATACTTGGGATCTAAAGGTGTCCCCATATAACAATTTTGGGACCAAGTATACACTATCTAGCTGCATGGGCCCTTTGGTCAGAAGGCGGGCGGAGAAGGGGGGCATTAAGAATACTTGCATGTGAGATTTACAGGGACCACCGGAATCCGCATTGAAGGCCGGAGAATTTAAGGATTTGGGAAAACTCCCACATGCGGGTAAAGAAGAATGCGGTCTTCGGCATCCTACAGTTCCGAAACATCCTTAGAAAAGTTTTATTTCCTATGTGGTGCTAAAGAATGGCTGAACACTTCTCGCATCTTCCCAAAACACTTCCTCGGCCACCCCCGCCTGCGCCTCAATGCTGCCTGCAAAGGGATGCTGAATGCTGTCTTACTGAAGTGAAGGTAGGTTCAAAGTTCATGAAGCCCAAACCCAAACAAGCGCGTCTCTCACCATGGGCTTTAGGTTCAACACCCGGTCCTCGGAAGAATCCTCAAGATCTCATGTGCGATTCCATGCAATGCCCAGGAAATGCGCTCTCCTTAAGTCTAAGATCCGTACAGGATGCCTGAACACTTAAACCTTGAGGATACCACTCAGGAAACCCCTATGCTGACAAGCGAATGAACACCTCACACATATGCTCCACGTGTAAGACACCCCAACCCTCCAAATCCATGTAAGCCCTAAGCCTGAAAAACACTGTAGATCAGATCCCCCCAAGAAGCTACTTTCATCCCGGGATGCGTGCCACAGTTGAATACGTCAGCATGGGAAGTACACTGCAGAACCTATTGCACAGTAGACTTGCAATGATTTTTTCAGAAGGACACCCCCCCTTACTCACCAATAGGACATATAATTCAATATGATATCCCGTGCTCGCATGAATCGCACCGGATCCTGAGCCCAAACCGTTAGCCTTAGCCCTAAACGTAAGCTCTAAGCCCTATAAGCCTAAAGCCCTTCTCAGCCCCAAACGCTATACACCCCATATGGCCAAAGTTCGACAATCACCCAACCCGGTGCGCGGTCGGTGCCGTCGACCGTCATGCCGAGGCCTTCCTCGGCAAACCATCCCTTAAACATCTTCGATACAAAGCCAAGAAAAAGAGTATGGTAATTTGTGTAGTAACATTGTAATATAGAGTAATAGAGTAAAAGAGAAGTAAAGTAAAATTTATCGTGAACATGTTCATTATTCGGGTGGGTGGAAGGTGATTTTTCAGGGTGAGGGGGAGACATAATTACGTTTGCAAGGCTTTAGATGGGCTTACAGCATTGTGTTTGCACGTTAGCTACCACACGCGCTACATTGCTACATCTATGTTGCCCCTGTATGCTAGATGCCACCACCTGTTTTTCTAAAACCCCATGAACCCTACCTAACCTCAAACATCTAGAGACTGGCCCAAAACCATGGGTAGGAAATGCACATATTTTCGACCCCAACCATAAGGGTAAGGGCACCATACCCCTCAGGCTTCGATCGCTTTGTCTGCCCGTGAAAACAGGCCCGAGCTTCCTCATCTTGATTGTGCCACTTCCTCGGATCCCAGTGGTCAAGCAGACAGAACACGATGATTTTGATATTTGGGGAAGAGTTAGGAACTTACATTGGAGTTCTGAGTACTGCTGAAACACTTTGTGTCTCCAGACCTGGTGTACTGTAATATACTACCCAAAAATACGTAAGAGGCTTTGGGCACTGCTGAGACAATCTGTGTTTCTAGACCTTATATACGCCAATATACTATCCCAAAATACAAGGAACTTACATAGTAGGCTTTGGGTACTGCCCCTAACCCTGAACCCTAAGCCCTAGATCCTAAAAACCCCAAGCCCTTAACCCTAAAACCTAAGCCCTTGAGCCCAAAACCCTTGCAGCCCAAAACCCTTGGAGCCCTAAACCCTTGAAGCCCCAGAGTCCAGTCCGGACCGCGGCGTACCCGCACGTCCAGTGTAGCAGCTTTCAGAATGCGGCTCTCCGGCTCGTCCTTCTAAGGATGGCTCCAGGAAGCCAATTACAGGTTCCGGGCTAAGAGTTTAGGTTTAGGATGGTTTAGGGTCCCTAAAGCAAAGTAAGTTCCTGAACTGTAGGTCATAGGAATTTAAAGTTTTGGAGGAGCCGACCTATACTGGGGCAACTGGATGGCGCATAATCCGAATCTACAGAGAAATTTCCGGAGCACCGTAGGATTCGTGCGGCTCTTGAACCTAGACCCTGAACAAATTCTTAAGAGTCCATGTACCCAATGAGTGGGTGCTTGGGATCTTGGTACTTTGGAGTGAGTATATGTTAATAAGTACAGTACTTGGACCCTTAGGAAAGAATTCCTTGAAGAAGCCCCTCTTTTAAGTCAGCGCTGCCTCTGGCATCTCCCACGAAGTCCTATAGGCGAAACCTACAACATCTCAAAACCCTCAGAAACGAATCCCTATAGGGCTAAGCCCTTCTACCTAGCTAGCCCAGGCCCTAAACTTACACCAAACCTCTGCATGCTACACTCTGCACCGCGAATCCCCAGGCTTCAGACCGCACAAGCCTGAAACTGCTATAGGCCCTCAGCCCTTGAAGTTATAAGGTCCCTGAGCTGTAAAACTATATATGAGGTCTACAGCTTACAAGCCCTAACCTCCATAAACTCTCAACCCGAAAATCTGGGTTGGCCCCTAAAACCCTTTAAAAAATATCAGTATATAGGGTCCCTTATTAAAGCCATTAGGGAAAATATTAAATTTCCCAGGGGCCTACCCAGAAATCAGTTGATTCAGTGCAACTGTCCTCCTGGAGGAGCTTCCGCATTGCTGTGGCCACGGCCATCAGAGCCTCGATTTTCATGAGTTGACGCCATAGTCTTAGTACTGGTATCAGGAAGAATACTACCTGGACCCCAAAACTATGTAAAATAATGGCCTTTATGGCTAATTTTAGGGGTTTAGAGCCATTATTTTACATACTGTTGGGGTTTAGGTAATACTAAGGTTAATCAATATTAGTAGCAGGGGGTGTGGATACAGGGGCTCTACGTAGGGATCACAGCTCTAGTTTGAACAAAATCACTTCGACACAGGGCTTCTTGGATCGATGGGCGCTTTTTCTCACACAGGCAAACTCCACAGCTCAAATTTCGGGCTTCACCCACAGACAGCTAGAAGACAAAGGATGGATACAGCACATGGCAGCCTCTCCCAAATCTGTGAATCAGTCTGTCTGAATCCTTGTTACCCTTGAAACCTGAGACATACCTAAACCCCAAAAGTATGTAGAATAATAGCCCTAAAACCACTAAAAACAGCAAAAAAGGCTATACTTCTGCATACTTTAGAGGTCCAGGTATGACTCACTGGCTTACAGCCCAGGGGGCTGTGGGCGATGCGGCTCGGAGCTGCTCCAAGTCTTCTTGCCTCATAGTAGGGTGGTTTAGGGTTTAGGATTTGGGGACATGTGTCTATGTGGGTGGTTGTCAAAAAATATGGTCCCTTTTTGGGTACCCTAAATATAGGGATTATGGGGACTATATTGGGGTTCTATGGGGATAATGGAAAAGAAAATGGAAACCAATATATTGGGGTTATATATACCCTAGTAATCCCTTTTGGCTACCCTAGATATTATAGGTGCCGTATTATAATAGGGAACCAAAACCACAATTTTTGACAACCACCCATATAGTCTTCGGCGGAAGGTTTTATGATCATAGGCTATCGGGCTTAGGCCAAACAAACGTTTAAACAATTATAACTTTGGATTGAGGCAGTGGGGTTGAGCTGAGGGCTTAACATCTAACATTGTGGAACGGTTTTGCTTGTTGCTGGGGATTTGGATTTGACTCTTTAATTGAATGCAGCTTACCGTTGAATCCGGAGGCTCGAAACGTGGGATGAAGGTAGGTGGGTTGAGGGATTTCCACTGTAGACTCAATGTTGTTTCGATTCTCTTGTACCCCTCCACCTTTTGAGCCTCCTATTGGAAGGGTGTCCGGCAAGGGTTGGAGTGTTGTGATTTGTCTGCCTCTTTTTTTCTGCCTCTAAGATTACCTTGTTGTGCACTGCTCTTTTGCTGCGAGCTCGAAACAGGAAGCAAAACATCATTGTCAGCCAGCCACCTACAGTATTATTTTGGAAGTAGGATGCGATTGGGAGGAAGTAGCTCAGCAAAAAAAAGCAACAAACAATCTCTGAAGAGGAGATATGTTCTGGTCCGAAATGCGTGCATTTGCATGAACTCATGTTGCCCTGCGATCGAAGGTCATCCAATGTATACCCTCTGGTGCACATACACCTAGGCGAGCCTTTCCTGGTACATATTTGAAGTTTGAACATATCCTTAGGCCCTTTGTGGAGCAGGCAGCGTTCGGAACCTTTCGGTCGGCACGGCACCAAGCCCAAAGAACATGCCTAAACTTATCCGCCGAAAGCCGTCAACCCAACAAGCAAACCCTAAGGGTCCAAGTGCTTAAACAATATGTAATTTGGGCCCAAGATACCTATATAGGAACCCAGCACAAATGGTCTACAATTGGAGTACTTGCACCCTGTAGGAAAGAACCAAGTAAAAACACAACCAGCTGAACCCAAAGTTGCTCAAGAAAGCCCAGGATGCATGCACTGCTTGGCTAGCGCTCGGGCACAGCCTGAATTCCGTACATGTTACCTAGAGGGGCACGGGACAGCCTGGGTCACAACAGTATACGTAATCACATATACACACACACACACACGCACCATATAAAGCAGTTCACATAAACGCATATGCACAGCATGACAAGCCTGACTATGGTAATTCGCACTTACGAAACTTTTACACAGAAGGTTTGTCGGCGCCCTACAAAAATACGTTGTTCGCGTCCCCCATTTGCTCAGCTGTCACTACTATGTTGCTGTCAATGACAGCAATATAGGTGTCATCAAAACCATTGTTGTTGTCGGAGCTATAGCCGATAGCCTCAAAAGCCATGTGCTGCACACATGAACTCAAGGAAAATGTTTCAAACTTTTACCAGGCATCGGGCATACTGCCTCTTGAGCCCCATGTTTTCAGCTTGCAGGAGACGGTCTGGTGTGGCGGGTAGTCTGAGAAGTTGATCCTGCAACTGCCAAGGAAGGGCTGACTTTCTCGTTGCGCTAGACTATGGAAGCTGGTTGTTCGTCGTGAGATTCAGGGTTTTGAAGGTGGGCGGTTGAGATGTGACGCTTGGGGCTTAGTAGTTTGGCTTTCTGGTGGTAAGTACGAAAGGACGAAATGGATCCCCAAATTGCTCTTACTATATAATCCCCTCAACTACCCTGACACCATCGTATACGAACCACCAGCAGGGGGCAGATTGGGGGTTAGAGCGTCGGCCCTGTCAGTCCTGTCACCGTGCATGTTATGCGGTTGCTATTAAAGATTCGTCAAAGTATATCACACCTATTTTTCTTACTGCCATTTTTGTGTTAAACTGTGCGAAGGCTTGGGTGGCGACTTGACTTTGGGGCCTGGCTAAGTGACAAGTTAAAGGTGATGAAGACAACTCAGGTCAAAATAGTATGCGTTCTTTTTTTTGTGGGTGGAGTGTGCCCATAATAAGGATATTTATGATATATCGGGACCTTTCTTGATGAAATCAAGATCCCCGTAATCCCCATGAAGCAGCAGAAAAGTCTGCGAACAGGGTCAACCTAGAAGGATAGACAGTAAACCTCAGGAGGAGTGTGCTTGCTAGTGTGAGCTGATGGCTCAGAGTGCCAAAGGTCTAGTCTAAGTGAGGTTTTGCAATAGATGCCTTTTAGTTCAATGTGGGTCTTACATAATCCCCAACAATGTATAGTAGTCTCCCTGTATGAATACCCAACTATAGACCCCAATTTACTATGATCCTGATTTATGGGGACCGTCAAAAAGGTACCCCTAATTTTGGGAACCTTAAACCCCCCTATACTTCCCTACCCCTCAGGTTTAGGAGTCCCTCCTCGCAGGCATGCTTGAGGAAACCAACTTGGTAATACTCACTGATCGTAAGCAGCGCTTCCACGTTGTGCTGCGTGACCTGCCAGGGTTCAGGGTATGGAGTACCACGCCCTAAACCCTAAAACCCTGCACCCGGGGCCTGGAATGTCCAATTCAAATGAGCCATAGTCAAAACTCCTAGTATCCCCCTGAATAACCCCTATAGTAGTCCCTCATATAATCCCCTTTAAGGATTTTGGACTCTAGCTCACACGTCTTGACTTAGACCATTACACTCTTCATGCTCTGTTCTAGGACCCTCCAACCCGCAAACAATCAACTGAACAACTGGATCTTCCACCAGAAGCTCCTATGTACTTCCCCTTGCTATGGCTTACTGGTGTGGGCGCACTAAGTTACCCAAAACCGACTTGCATAAGTTCCGAGAGGTTATGGCTAGATCTTGGGTGAGGCTCCCGCGCAGGTAACGTGACCACAAGGGATACTGGTAGTTCTATGGAGGCTGCACATGTATTTCAATTTTTACCGCCATTAAAGACTGGGCGCCTAAGCCGGGTTAGACGGTCCGAAGCCCTAAACCCTACATCCCTAAACCCTAAATCCCTAAACCCTTAATCCCTAGACCCTAAATCCCTAAACCCTGAATCCCTAAATCTCTCAACCCTGTAATAATATGCTAGTTTCCATTTTCTTTTGCATTTTCCCTATATAACCACCATATAACCCCTATATAATATGGTAGTTTCCATTTTATTTTCCATTATCCCAACAAAACCCCAATATAACCCCTTTATATCCCCTATATAATCCCCATATATCCCTTTAAAGGGACCTAGGGTTTCCATTTTCCCTGGTACACCCTCGAACCTTGTCTGCCCGAAAAGCACCAGGTCTAAGCAGGTTGTAAAAGATCTCAAAGTCCTCCTTCCTGGGCTTCCACAAAATTGGGGGGGGTTAGGGCTACAGTCCCCCTTAAGTAGATAGAATATGGCTTTGGGTATATTATAATAAGATCCCCATATACCCCATATTCTATCTACTTAAGGGGACTATAGGTGTATGGAATACCTAGGGAACCATATGGGCCTGTCTTTGGGTTTAAAAAGGTGGGCAAAATTCGGAGAAACTCCTTCCTAGGCCATTCGCCACAAATCGTACCACAGGGTCCACATGCAATTACGAATTCAGAGCTCAGGGTACTCAACAGTCATCCTATGTAACCCTAAACCCTTAAACCCTAAACCCTAAAACCCTAAACCCTAAAACCCTAAACCCTAAACCCCTAAACCCTAAACCCTAAACCCCTAAACCCTAAACCCCTATACTGGGTACTATTCATGAACTATACACACACCAGGCCTTCCCTGTGAAGGGTTGAGGGGCTTAAGGTTATGGGCAGTTCTGGAGATGCTGATAAGCGCGCATTTCTAGAATTTGTGCTGAGCAAGCTTGCTGCTGCGCGGTTTAGGGTTTAGGGTCAAAAATGGGGAATGCCGTATAGGCCTTCGAGAGGCATTATTTTGGGGGTTAGATAGGGACTGCTATGCGCATCCACCTCATTCCCCATTAACGACTAGAAAGCAGGGCCATGCAAGAAGCTGTCCACCAATCGTAGTTGTTAGGCTGCGGAGAAAAGTCTGAGAGCCAGTGACTATACCAGCAATAACATTATGAGCTGGTTTCTGGCATGCTGCTGTGTTTCCTTCTTATTGGCCTGCGCAAGTGTTCCTGTTTTATGTATCACAATGCAAAACTAAATGCTGCACCCTGTTTAAAGTAGGGGCACCCCCCCCTTCCCCCCTAACAATAGGGTTAAAAAGGGATGGTCTGGATTCGGTCCCGTATTTTTAGGGCCCCAAAACCAAAACACCTTAAACAGGGTCACCCACCAAACATTGGCCATGTCCTGAATAAGCGGCGGCGAAAACACATTAAAGAGGTCCCTACACAAAACCAAGTGCAACATTATGCCATTGCTGGCTATACTTATTCTTGGCATTGGTTCTATCACCAAGTACCCAATGCAAGCTCATGAGATCTGAGTTGCCACCAAACGGTAGTCTACTTGCGGCGGTCCGTGGGAATGAAGGGGTGTGCCAGAGGGACGGTTAAAGGGTTGAAGTACGGATATCAGTTCTCCATTGCACACTAGCCGCCTCAAACCCTGAACCCCAAATAGCGTAAGGTGGATACTATAGAAACCCCGCATGACCCTACGTACATTATACCTGGGAATGATGGTATTATGGAAAACTAAGGCCATACAAGATCTTGAGCATCAGAAATAGTAGTCCCCATTTTCTCTTCCATTCCCCACCAGCACGATTAGGGGTTGCTGTAGGAACTGTTAGAAGGACACATTCCCACTTCTCTCTAACCACCCTTAACCTGAACCCGAAATACCATACTGGTTTCAATGTTCTTGTCCATTCCCTACTGACCACCAGTAAGATGACCCAGCGTCGTGGCCACCTCAACCTGGATCGTCCGGTTTTGCGCCTCTCTCATGCCCGAGGAGAGCATGCTGTTGAAGACCGGGGAGCTCATGCGCCTCTGCTTAGCTTTAGTTCTATAAGGCTGAGATCATGGGGCCTTAACCCCGGGATCCTTGCATTCCTACGATATACCCTATATGTACCCTTCAGGCTTTAGTTAGGCATCCTACCTGGGCCTTATGGAACCCAACCACTTAAGGTTCCGTCGTCTAGGGCAGCCTCCTCAAAACTCGGAAGTTACGGGCTCCGACAGCTTACCACACCCAGGAAAGCACAGCAATCCAAGCCTCAAATTCTGAAAGCCCAAATAAATTGAGCCTTTGACTGTCCCAAAGGTCTCGCTCAAAAGGCTGCAACCCAGGACTCTCAGCATCAACATAGTAGTACATCTTCCCTGACGTCTCTAGGCCAATGCATCCATGAACAAGACCATCAACTTCTGGCCCTAAAGTCTACGCAAGACACCTATGCTGCTTCCAACAAACCTATAAAGTAAACAACTTTGGGCTTTGTGGGCCCTAAACCATAAACCCTAATCCCTGAACCCTGGACCCTAAACCCTAATCCCTAAACCTTGAACCATAGTATAAACCCTAACCCTACTAAGTCCCTATGCCCAGGCGCAGGAGTACAGAGCAAGCCGCACGGGAGCCCCCGGTGCCGAACTTCAGCATCACATCGTCCCAGTCCGACTGCAAATTACGCTAGTTGAAAGGGGTTTAACGTTTGCGGGATTATCATGGGCAGGAAATGGTTATTAAAGGGCTTATAGGGCCCAGGACTTCCCAAACTAAGTTATTCAAGGGGGTTTATCGTGGGATGGGGATGTTTATTTAAGGGCTTATCCTGGGGATAAGCAAGGATAGTGTGGGGAGATAGAGTCCATACTACAGCAGTCATACTTTGTACTGTATAGTACATGGAACCTTTTCCTGGGTTATCCGGTAGTTAAGCTCTGAAATCCCAAGCAGCCTGCATATTCTCCCACGAGTGCCAGTTGGTGTCATCCTCATTCCTTGGATGAGGTCTTATGTGTGCAAAAGGTTGCAGTAACCAACTTCAACAATAGCGGCATATGGTCGGAAACACGTAAACATGGTATGGTTCATGATGGTTGCCACCGGGCAGCACGCAGATGGTGCAGAAGCAGCTTCTACACTGGCATTTCTCTGAGTATACCGGCTCGTTAGTACTTCTACGCTTGCACTGTACTTCCACCACTAGTAAAGTCTCAGATTTCAGAACCCAAACGTGGAATGTAGTATGGGGCTTTAAGCTGTACATAGTACTCCTCATGAAGCAAAAACATTCACACAACTTCGACCCAGGATCTTGCGCTTCATCGCCTCGAAGGCTGGCAGAGCTAGGTCGCAGGCCGTCGGAGGAAAGCAAGGTTGCGCATAGCCAGCTACCCCGAAAGGCCCGGGCACCTGATAGCCAAGTGCTTGCCCAGAAATCTATATCACAATAGCCCTTATCCCTACACCTGAATCCTCAAACCCAAAGCCCTTGAGCAAACTTTTTCGCGTACTCGGACCCCCTAGCTGCTCTTGCCGGGCTACCAGAGCTTGGAGCCCAAAACCGGCAGCGCGACAGGGCTTTCCCAAAACAGGGGGAAGACATAGGGCCATATAGGGTTTAGGACTTGGGGTTGTTGAGGATCTGGGGAGACTTGAGGGGGATTATATTCTACACAAGTCACTATGCAGCGTCGCCTATGAAGTCCTTGGGCAAAGAACACCACACTGTCCACATAAATCAGCTGGTGCATGAGCTGGCTGCACGAAGAGCGTTTAGGGTTCAGGGGAACTCCAGTGCGAACTGAAGCACGCTTGCGGTCAACACAATCAATCTACGTGTATCGTCTCCTCGTGAAACAAACACCAACAAGATGTAGGCTCCCCGAAAGCAAAGCACTTCAACTCCGTTGCGTAAGTTCGCCCGGCTAAGATAGATGGGAGCTTTCTCCACTGCTATTCTGGCCGCATAAAATGACCTTGACACTAGGAACCGGAATGCGGTCATGAAAAATCGTTACGAGAATGAATAACAGAGCGCTCCAGCCTGACACCCTCGACCCTCTGCTGTAAACCATACTCGAGCCTGATTTCCTTGGGACTACACCCTGAACGTCGACAGGAACAGTCACGCTTGCCTCAGCACGCCTGGTGGCATCAGACACGGGCAGGACACTGTGCCGGTGAACATGAAGATCTTTAAAGCGTGAATGTTTCCATGCTCTTCATGAAGCTGTCTGCGGCTGTCTTTACTCTACATGTGCTGTTCTACGATCCCGACAGAACATGTACGGAAGAAGACCCAGCATGGTTATATACGGAGACTTGAAGATGAAAAGGCAGCTATCACTTGCTCACCTTGCCATCAAATGCTGCGGATCATGATCATGTCGGCCGGCTTGCTGCAATGCTACCGTGGATGAACTGACTCCTGCATGACCCCATCTACCTAAACCCTGGAAGTATGGTAGTGTAAACTAATCTGCTTAGGGTCGTGCAGCATTTTGGCCATCAACCGTACCTCCAAGGCGAGCAGCCCAGAAGGACACCGTGCAGTTTTAGCGAACTATGAGGGTCAGGAGACGTCAAGGCCCCTGAACCCCTGAAGCCCAAAGCGCAGGGAAACAGCAGTGAGCCGCACCATGGGGACTTAATGGCAACCGCATCCTGGACCTCCTAAGGTCCAAAAACAGTTAGCAGCGCAAAACTGCGCGCAAACACTTCGCAACTGATAAACAGAGTTTGAGCCTCTTCTGTAGCGAATACAATGGCCATAGCTCCGTATAGATCTCGTGTACACATAAGACAGCTCCTCCCTGATGCCTCACCAAGGACCCTAAGCGTCCTGCGACATGCCCTCCCACCCCTAACATGAAGCACCAGCTACCCACCGTTCATAATGACAGCCGTATTTGTAGGGCCCTTATACGTGTTTGCATCTTACTTTCAGGGCATGGGACATCCTTTGAGTCAAAAACCGCTTTTTGTCACACAGCAGGGCTTTGCCTGATCAAGGTTTCCTGCTCACCTGTACATCAGGGCCGCTGTGCATGTTGGCAGCTGTGTGCTGCAACCTCTTACCACAAGGATCCCTTTCTGCACAGACAGGCCTGTGCGCCTCCATCATGCCTACGTAACTTCAAGAGCCATGGCTCATGGGATTCTGTCTCTACTGTCACCCCCTTGCATCCGCATCCCTGAACCTTAATCAAACCTGAAGCGGGCGCGGCCTTGTCGGAACCTATCTAGCGTGGCTCAGTAATCCACCAACGGGCAACACTTGGCCTCCTCCCTGCAGGCACGGCGAACGTTATGCACAGGGGAGCTAACATGGAACCCTGTCCCTTCAAGAGTGTGCTCCTGTTTGTTTCAATATTTGTGTGGCGGAAAGTTCGATTCTTGGCTAGACCCTGCTGCAAAGGCTTCGGCTGAAGCAGTCATTCGTCAATAATTCGCCGAGGCTGCTCCCGCCAAAACCCCCTCTACTCCCCTTTGCAAGCCGGCACCCTCCCGCCCCCCTGGCCCCCCGGGTGGGCGGCCCAGTCAAGCCCCTTGGTCTCCTCCTCTGTGTCGCTCTTTCAATCTATCACCGGCCCAAACGAGTACAGTCTGCTCCCATTCCACCCGAGGAAGTCCAACCGGAATGCCCTTGCGATTTGTTTTGCAAACACCCGGTGCTACTGTCTTTTGGTGCTACTTCAACGCCACAACTTCAAGTGCTAAGCCAGGTTTGACGGAATAAGCACGACTTGTGGTGTCATAACAACATTGCTGAAGACCCGACAGAGGCACTCACGTGGCCGCAGGAACATCCGCGCTGCGGCACATCAGTGTGAAGCACGGCGTCTGGAAGGAGGTCACCTTGGGTTATCTCAGAATCACCGAAGTTGTTCTTTATTTTGTGGGCTATATCAGGGCAATCAAATACCGCCACCTGATTGGCTCAGGATCTGTCAGCCTGTGGTCAAGCAACACCAATTCTAGCTACAATTGCTTCGTGTACGACTTGTGGTTCGCGTCAAATCGTATTCGGATTGGAACAGAACTGCATGTTCCAAGACTTGAAAACTCTGTCCTTCCTTTCTACTGAAACTAGTAGAAACAAGCGTTGTTCAGCAAGCCGCCCAGAACTTCAACAGCAGTGGAGTAGAGATCCCTTCATGCTGCTCCTTGCCCCAAAGTCTGAGCCCCAACAGCAGTCGAACTGCCAAAAAACAACGAGTATGGGAACCAACCACTTACTGGTTGTTAGTAAGGAATACGGAAATTTACTCTATACGGATAATGTAAGGCTTATATTCCCTTAATCCCTCCTAGACCCCAGTAAACCCTTCTATTGTAGCAAGCTGCCGGCTCGCTGCAGTAAGGCGACCGAGTCTGTCTGCCTTTGGCTTCTCCTCATTGGCGAAAAAGGGTTATTGGGGCTTACATAAGGTTCAGGACTCCCTCTAAACCAACATATAGAGCTCCTGCAGAATCAGTTGAGTCGGAGACTTCTGGCTCAAAGCCCTATATCTAATCAGATTTCTATCTGTGGTCTCCTCCAGGGAACACCAAATATACACACGCACCAACATTTTAAATGAGCTCTATTTACAACCACCGAAAAAATGTGATCCGCGCTACTGTATACACCTCATCCGTATAGACCACTACATAACCTCAGCTTCCATTTCAATTGTCCTTTGTTCTTGCCCATTGTATTCTCCCTATTGTACCGCATTCTATCCCCAAACCTAACATAATCCCAAGACAACAGCCCCTCAACCCTGGAACCCTGTCGCCTGGGTCCCCCATTATCCGAACCACGCAGGGGTTGGACCCTGCTTTTGTACATTCAGCTACCACGATTTTTTGAGAGACTCCACTGCTCCCGACTCTAGCTGTAGCCACTTGACTTGCTTAACTTCCTGATGTTGGGCCCTACTTCTCTGCACACTTCCAGCCGGTGTCCTTGCCGGAGGGCACTCAGGAGCTCGTGAAGCTCATCTAATTTCTCAGCCTCCAGCTTGAGAAGCTGAGGGCTGAGGGTTTAAGGTTTGAGGGCTTACGGTTCGCTATGCAGGCTGGTGGCTTCCTTAAGTAGGATCTAGGTTTATAGGGGGTACCTTTGACATCGTTATGCTGGTATGTACCAACAAGATCAAGCCGAATCTGACGATTTCTGCAGTTTGCAGGGGCAAAGTTTTGGCAGCTTGACAGGCTTCAGGATCCGAGCCCCACAAGGTTCTCAAGTACTTGGCTTCAGGTCCCAAACACAATAATCTGAACAGTTTTGGGGGCCTAAAACCCTGTTGCTTGGGTACCCTGAACCCTAAAGCTCGAACCCCTAAAGCCCTAAAACCTACCCTAAACCCTAAATCCCTCAATTCCTAAACCCCTAAATCCATAAAACCGCTAGACCCCAAACAGAAATTGTAAACTCCAAGGCCTGGCTGAGATCTGTCCTTCCTGCAAGCTAACATGGAATCCCAAAGAGGGCCCTATAAAGACTTTTCTGTTTTTAGGGTCAGGGGTAGTTGGTTTTCAAAGGTAGCCTACAAAAGGGCCCCATAAAGACTATTCCGCTTTCCAAAGGTAACCCTCAAAAGAACACCCTCTCAAACACTTTATCGTGCTGCCTTCAGGGACGGCGTTATGTGGCCACAGCCTAGCAGGACACCTGACCAGCAGTAATTTCTGACAAACACATACTGTCTGTTGTAATCTGTATGCGATTTGAACAAGAAGCCGCTTAGCCCTAAGAATTCTGCTTGACTTCTGCTTGGGACAGTAGTGGACCTTTATTGCGTCTAAGCTCCGCACCGTACTGGCTGCAAGCGAGTCAAGGACAAGGACCCAAGATTCTGCGTAGAATGATTTGCGCAAAGGAGCATGTAAACCCAAATTAAACGAAGTTTACCAGATTCCGTGCGCCAGGCGGAGATGGCATAGCATGGCTTCGGCCTCGAAGTAATACACAAAAAGCCATGCAGCCTACTCTCACTACCCATTTTTTCATCAATACCAGCTTAGTTTCGAAAGACAGGACTTGGTTTGCCGTGCCTGCTGGCTTCGTCCCGAGGAAGCCATGAAGCTTGTGAAGGCTTTCCTGAAACTCCTCCAGCTTGCTGCCAGGCAGGAAGAGGAAGATGTTTCCTGCAGGGCCCAACCCTCAGCCTCAAGCCACGCGGCTGAGGGAAACCGCCGGGTATGTGCGATTTAGGCTTAAACATGTGGAAGGCTTGGGTGCGAAGCGGGTGCGCGTCAGAGCAGCAGAGAATATGCTGGTGCCTGGGTAGATCAGATCCCCTGTGAAAATGCGATTCTCGGCAGGATAGTACCTGGGGCCGCGCACGAGTTTGCTGGATGCTTTTTCTATGGCTCCTAAACTGAGGAGCCTAGTGTCTAGAGTGGTGTGAAAGGCATCTCGATTTTCAGGGGTTCTCATGTGTCTCAACTCAGACTTTCCTGCGTTCCTTCCAAAGTTTGTGCAGTTTCTGCTACTTTGGAAGAACCCCATATGAGATATAGCCAATATTGCCCAAGTAATGGACATGGTTTCCTTATTAGGGAAGTTATTAGGGACTTTACTGATAAACTACAAGAGGGACACCTATGTCACAAAATCACAGCAAGCTGCAGGGAGATTGAATCCGGCGTGTGCCCAGGCGTGAAGAGGACCTCCAGAGACTCTGCATCCGTGGGGTTCCTGGGCTTCATGGTTCGAAAGGCAAATAGATGGACAGGTTGTGAGGATGCCGAACAATTCTGACTCCTAAGCTTACTGGGAGATTTATCGGGCAAGATATCAGCGACTGTATAGGGAGTATAGTCCCTTATTCACTACTAACCACCAGTAAGTACGGCCTCCACCCCATGCTGTCTTCGTATGATCGTTGCACAGCTCTTACACTCCTACACTTGGTCCTCACCCCACGGGACTTCAGGCATTCGAAGCCAAGCATCTCGTCATCCAAATAAATTCTCTGCCCCTCCTCCAGCCAGTCCTCAACTGTGCTTGCATTCAATCACAGAAGGTGGAGGGCACTAATGCCGCCGCTGCAGGTGCTTCTAGTCCTCCTACCTAACCTGGCGAAAGGTCCGCAGGACTCAAAGTGCGGTATGCCAGAATTGTCTCCTAAGGCCTCTAACAACCCGCACGAAGCCAGGTACAACATCCGCTCGCAGAACCCGGCGGAGCTCTTGCACCTGCTCATGTTCTCACAAACGTGTACCCGATCCTTACAATCACCCTGCGGACACAATTCGAATCCACAAGCTTCTCATCAACATTGCATAACCTCACTCGATCATCATTCTTCAGATTTCAACTCTCTACGAACCCCTCAAAATCTACACCTTCAACCCTGCAGACATCCCCCTGAATGATATGGCCCCCACCAATCTGAAGCTCTGCACAGGCTCTGTCACACAGAAGTTGGAGATGTCAGCTCCAACCATGCCCTGAAGGGAAGTCTCCTTGCAAGAGCTGGTCATTGGCTTTTCTTACTGGGGGTTAGTGGGAATGATAAAGGAATATGTTGTATAGGGTTTTTGAAGAGAGGATATTCCCTTATTCCCTACTATAACCACCAGTAAGGTAAGAGCTGGTCATTGGCTATGTCATATGAAGACCCTGGTCACGAGACGATGTTGGCACATGACATGCGTTTCAAGTCAATCGTGGAATATGTGGCTCATGCTTCTGGCCGGGATCTCAACGCAACGGCATGCCTATGCAAACCCTCAGGGGGATGCTCATAATCGTAGCGAGGGTCAAATCAAGACAACGGTCCTTTTGCACCATAGGCTAGCGTTTCCCAACAATCGCACTCGAATCCGTCTGCTAATCGAAACAAACCGGCTCAGCCCTTCAATCCCTGCAAGCTCTTTGGCTGGTTTTGGCAAATTCCATGGCCACACCTGACAAGAATAGATCTAGCATCAGCAAAGCAGGGCACCCCATCAACGGTGCTTCTCTTAGGTTCTCTTGTTCGAGCGCAAATTACCTTTGGCATGTCCTCCCGCAATGACTAACATGGAAGCCCAGCAGGGGCCCCAAGAGGAAGAGGAGGCAGCTACCCTCATCCCACCTGATGAGCCCCCTGTTAGCAATGTAAGTTACATGTCCCTTATTCATGGAATGACGGTACATATGGTCTGCAAACCTTTCTCTAACTAATGCAGAAACCCTGTGAGAGCCATGTCATATCCCGAACAGGTTCGAGCTCCTGCCAATTTTGGCTGAACCGCTGGTTCCTCAGCCATCAGATGGACGGTGGGAGTGGGCATAATAAATTCAAAAGGGCTCCAACATGGCAAAGGGGTCTGCAGGACTGCTGAAGAACGCCTACGCGGGTAACCCTAATTCAGTCACCTTCAGCCAAGTTTAATAGTCAAGCGCTTGGCACTGGGAACGGATCAGGTTTTGCATCAATGTCATGGGAAAACTTTGCTACTTCAGCCGGAGGTGCCGGGAGCCCTGGCAAATACCTGGGCAAGCTAAGCAGGCGGAAAGCTTCCCAAACATCTCCTTCAACTCCCAGGAAGATGACTGCACAAAAAAGCTACAAGAAGGAAGATTTTGGGCCACAGCAGCTCTTGCAAGATTAGCCGAGTTTTCCAGCGGTACCCAAGCGAGAAAAACCCTTCACAACCAAGGTCATGCAGAATTAGGCACCTGAACCCAGGACATAGTGTGCATCTGTAGGTCAGGGTTTTTGGCATGCCGTGCTGTAACATAAATCCTTAAAATCTTCCGTAAACTCATTGGCAACCTCAAGCCTCTTCTTGAGCTGCATCCGAGAGCACCCCATCCTACAAGCGGGGTCCCTGTTTTTAGGGTCTCCATAAGGACTACATAGCACTCAATCACTTGTAATCCTTGCCGCCGCCGTAACCTGGACACCTTTAGTGCAGCTTTGCTCTGGAATCCTGAGCCGGAAATCCCAAGGCCAACACCTCGCACTCTTACCCTGGCGTCAAAGTCACTTTAGAACATCTATACAGGGCTGTAAGTCTACAAAACTTATTTTGGACTCTAATTGAAGTCTATACATAAGGCCTTTAACCGGATCTAAAATCTATGAGTTGTACGGGCTATATTGGAGCCCTAGACTAAAGTAGCCCAACCTACTCCAGGCCAAGAGACTTCGGCAGCCCCTGCGAAGCCCACGGCCACCAGGGGCGCAGAAGCCGTAATTGCCCATGATGTGGTCATAGTGGATGTGTGTATTGACCTCGTTTCATTCCACCTAGCTTCAGCTTAGAAGTTTATGATAAACGGAGGGCTAGTGTAGGGTTCAAAGTGAAAAATCTGAAGGACGTGAGCTGATCACGTTTCCTGTAGCTTTTGCTTCGCTGTTCAAGGTCTTGTTTCTGGGTTCAGGGCGACAAGGGCGAGTGAGCAAGGGCCAAGAGGCTAAGCGGTATACAACTTAGGGTGTAATGTAGCTTGGAGATGTATGACCCGCAGTCCCAGCTTCTTCGTCGTAATCCTACACGCCCATGGATGAGACTGCCTCAGCTGCTGAAGACCCATGCCTTCACAAAGCCTTCTGTGTGAATACTTAAATCACTGATTTACGCTGGTGAGCTGTCATCATCCTTGAAGGGCCGCACCTTTTCACTATGAAGCATAGACCCAATATATAAATATACACACACATTATCAGTACATACCGCCTCTTTAAAAAATCTAGAAGCAACCTGCTCAGCTGGCCCTCACCCTCAATTCTCTGACAGCTCAGTGCCCGGCAACCTGAAACTCTTTGCCTTCAAGCTCCCGCAGGGAGCTTAGAAAGTCGCAGAAGTTTGCGGTGTCGCATCCCGTGTCTATCACCACAGCCTGCTTGGGATAAGGGGGCCTGAGGGTCTAGGGCTCAGGTCCTGCTTGTGTGCTCTTACCTTCTCCTAGCGTTATGATACCTGTCTTGTATAAGTTTGTATAAGTTTCAGCCCGAGCCATGTATTGCAGCGTGGAAAAATCTTGGCTACTCAAACCGTATGCATCCCACAAGGTTTGAACCTCCTCCATGCGTGCGTGAAAAGTAAGCCGTCACGTCTAGCGACTACAGAAGGAGTGCGCCCACTAAGGAGGTAAAAGAAGGACAGGGCGCTCAACATGTAGATAGATTTCTGAATGTGACAGGAACTCAACAGAAGCACCTCAAGCTAGGATTTGAGTGACGACTCTGTACACCACCATTGTACCTTTTCCAAGCTGACGCTGCACTAGCCGAGACCCTCAGGACCGCTGGGCAGGAGACTTGCCTTCTTTGGGCCGAGGATGACGTACATGTGAGGCTGCTCGCCTCGGAGCTCACCCAGGTGTAGGCTGTTTTAGGCTTCAGTGTCCTGACGAGGATATGGGTGTACGCGCAGATTATGTGGACCTGATGTTCTCTTCTGTGAGCGGCTACATTGCCTGTTGATGTTCTGCATCTTTGTGGTACATTCAAGTAAGTAGAAACGTAAGACTAGTTCCCCGGCAATGTCAAAAGGGGTCGGCATAAGAGTACAATGGTCTAAGCAAGAAGATGCAGGGAAAGCCTGCCCGTATTCATAGCTGTCTCGCAAATTGAGCTACAACCAGAACTGGCCAACTACACTTTACAACGATCTTGGTACCTTCTGTTAAGGACGCCACGTCCTGCATCATGGAATAGGAAAGTTGAACCTGACCACGGCTTTTGTTGGACGCCCATGTATGCACTCACCCATGTATTTATTCCTCAGGAGCCCCATACACTCATTGAAAACCAGAAGCAAAATCCCGAATCAACTGAACCTGGTCAGGCCGCCAAAGCGGTCGGCCTCCACAACCACTAGCCTTGCAAAGGCTAGCAGGCGTGTAAAGTCAGTAGCTGGCAGACAAAATTTCTCCTTTCTCTCTGGGATCCTTAAAGGCAACCCTTTGGGCATATGGGGCCTGAATAGCGCATATGTAATCGCTTTCAAGCGGCTTTCTTTCCTAGGCCCTAGGCTAGAGGACGAAATCGTCCTTCAGACCTGGCCAATGTAAACGCTTCACGAATCCGAAAATGAGGCCCTTTTGAGGTAATCGTCCATACAAACCAAGATTTGGGTTCAGGTCGGCTGAGGTCACCTTAAGCTGCCCCATCATAACCTTTTGCTAGGTAGGACGTCTGCTCCAGGCCTCTGGAATCCCCGACTGGGCAGGATGGGAAGGTGTAAGATGAAGCTTATGGCTATGCTTCAGCGCAATACGGTGGCTCTCAGAGCGCTTCATGTAAGATCCTCGATGCAAAGGTCCCCTACACTTTCAGGATGGGGGGAGGGGAAGTAAAGATTAAAATTCACGGTACCAGTTGAAGCCATGCTTGCCGAAGACATGACCGTTGCCTGTGCAATGTTTGCGCCATGCAAAGTAAAGGTTGCTTGTTTTGGGTTCAACTTGCTATCAGTTAGAGGCCGAGAAGTTCACTGATTGGCTAGAAATGCTCTGGCCTGAAGACCAATCTGTTGATATCTCAAGGCTGAATGCCATTTGGAAACATAGTGCTGCACTCCGCATGACGAAAGGGACAAACAAGCCGCACTTTCCAGCACTCTGATTACGATTCCTGGGACTGACAGCACAAGAACCGCATGCCGGCGTAGCATCTGAGGCCGGCCAAGCAACGTATTTTTCGACAGCCAGGTCGGGTGAAATGGCGGTGGTATGCCCACCCCCGACATGGCAGACATGGCGGCAAGTGCTTAGCTTGTGGTTTGGCTTTGTACCAATTAAGATCTAACATGTTGCGGCATCAGCATTTGTCCTTGATAGAGAAAAGCCGGCCTGCTGCAAATCAAGCAAGCTACTCGCTCTAACAGTTTACGCTGCGGCAGGGGCAGTCATATGAATGTCGTGGAACTGAAGCTAAACTCTTGGGCTATGGAAAGCTTGCTATCCGAGGAGCTCTGCTAGCATATCTGCTGCCAGGAGCACATGTGTTGACAACGTGTAAATTCGTAACCGTTGCATTTCTCCGTTTCATGGTGCTTGCAAGCTAGGAGCGTCCTTGAAGCGAAATAGCCATGCAATAACGTTACGTATTCTGGCTTTGACAGTAAATGGCAAAGAGCAGCGTGTAAGCATGAAGAATCTCCCTCTTGAGGCCCACATGAGAACATTGTTGCGGGTGTCGTCACGTTTTGTGTGGTCTGTTGGGTCCTGACGAGAAGAATCATCACAGGCTCCAAAATGAGACGCGGACCTTAGAGACAAAGTGACACATTATGAGGGCAAAGGAACGTGTTGAAGATGTTGAAGAGCTCTGGCCAAACTAATCCCGCCCAGTTTGACAATCATCTCTTTTGCTGCGAGCCCGCTTGTAAGCCCGAGCGTACATCACAACCGCCTGGTGGCCGGACCCGAAGCATTGCAGACTCCACGCAACGGTTGCCAATTGCTGTAGAGACCCAGCCCTTCAAGGGTTCTGGGTTTTGGCTTCAGAAAGCTATGACGCCACTTCAAGTCGGGTTTTGTCATATTCTAAGAATCTAGATTACTTTCCGTTCGATCATGAGTGGGAAGGACCTTTTTGCTGTCAACCGTGCACTGTCATTCCCTAAGCCCCAAACATGGGAGGCCACCTGGCTTAGGTCTACACAACAAGCCCAGAAGCTCAGCAGGCACGCGGCCAGTCACTGTCTACCAGCCTGGGCCAAAGTTTTTTGGGCTCTTAAAGCCTTCCTTCTACTATGCGACGAGACCGCAGGCCGTGGGCGTTAGGGGCAACGTCCAGTCGAGGCCGCCGTTCCGGAAGCCATCATCACCAACCCGCTGTCTTGTGTGTAGTTATGGCAGAAATCTACAGACTGCTTCGGTGGCTCTAAGGAACCCGCCGCTCCAGGGTCTGGGGGGGCAGCGTGTAGTGTGTGTACACATAGACACTCATGGGAATTCTCGTGCCACAAAGCCAAGCTTTGCGGGCCGGAACCTATGTGTCCGGAACCCATCATCGTTCGGAGCCCGTAATTTCCATGCCAAACAAGGCTGAGGGCTGGGACTCAAGGGCAGTTTCTCCAATAGTCCTTTAGAATTCTACAAACGAAAAGAGGACAAGAGAGGACACATTGCAAGCAGATCTGCATCAACAAATGTCCTGCAAACACAAACAGGATACAGCCGGTCTAACTGTGTAACACGAACTGCTTCATTTCGGGTCTTGATTGATAATGGTACTTCTGGTAATCTTCTGACAGCCCACGCCCCACACCCCATAATTCAGCCTTCAGCGCTAAACGACGGACCCTGAATCCATTAGGAAGCTCTGCTGCCGGGGTAGGCACCAGATCGTCCAGCTGCAGCTTGGCCATGTGGCCCTCCTTCCATGCCAATGAAGGGGCATTTGCACCAGTATGCAGATGGCGCTTAGGTTGCATTGGGAAGCTACAAGGTAAACCAGTTCTTGATGTTCTACTTGAGGCCAACGATTTTCACACATACCGCCCCCTTACACAGCCTTGGTCCTGACTAAGTTCCTCGTGAACGAACCCATTCATGTCGACGCACCCGCATCATGATTCAAGTGAAACAACATGAATGCTGTGAGCGTTGCTGTGTACTTTCTATTGTAAGGAGGAACTGCCCTCTCAGGCCGATAGTCTCGCACACAGTTCATATGCCCAGCTCTGTAAGTAAATCCTGCCTGCGCCATACAATAATGCAAAAGAAGCTTGAACTAAAACAAATCCTGGAGTCTACTTCACCTGCCTGAAGACTCCTGACGTGTTGGGCGTTTCAAAAAAATGTGCCGTCAACTTATCAGCAAGCCCTCTCCTCGGTGTAGTGATGCATGTTGCAATCCTTCTTGAAGTCAACCATGGCCTGAAGATGCACATCCATCTCACTTCGGTGAGGAGAAATGGCAAGACCAACAGTGCCACGGCAATACACGTATGTGGCCCCTTGCCATTACCCACGGCCCCTAGACGTGAGCTTCCAAATGGAAAAGCAGTTGCGGAGACAAAGCTGGCCAAATCCGGGCATTCCATGGTTGAGAAACGGTGATTGATTTGCGACTAAAATGGCAAGCAGCCAGATCTGTATATATGCGTATGTGTGCGTTTATATACACGGCTACATACACATAAGCATAGGTAATTAGGTCTTAAGACACACAAGAATGCAACAGTAAACAGGGAGCGATCATAAAGGTCTGTTTAGAATAGCTGTTTAGGCGCATGGACCGTGATGAGGGCAAAAGATGGTGACGTTCGTCATTCTCGCCTGGTAGGGCTACCAACTATTGTAAGTTGTCGCTCCGACCACCGTCACTCGTTTTTGTCAGTTTATCGATTTTCTTCTACGTGTTCACATCACGCACGCCTTTTTTGGTTTCATTAGCGTTCTACTGCCTCTATATATTGCTCTGGATTAGGTTTCGAGATGGTTGTCTAGGCGAACTGCACGAAAACCTGTGAAGCTAATCCACTTCAAGGAGGAAGTGCAGTACGTTGCATCTGACGCTATGGGGTTCCAGAATCTTGTGATGAAAGACCCGCTTTCAAAACATTGCAGAGCTTGTGGCCAGGACACGCGCTTCACTTCAAAGCCTATAGTAGGCCCAGGTGCTACCTGACATAATCTCCCAAACACCGTTGCGACCTGAAAATGTTCATCTTGCTGCGCTCAGGGCTTCCATGCAAAATCCGCTTGAAAGATCTTGCGGCACTCCGCCAGCTGCAGGCTACCAGCCAGCAACGATGGATTCGCTGCTGGATGTCTTTGGTCTTGTGCTGCTGGGGCAAGATCTCCTCCGAAGCGTTCATCCCTGAATCTGTGAAGTTCCCACCCTCATCACCACAGTTCATCCTGCACAAGCGGGCGCCAGCTGTCTCCCCAAAACCTTTCAGCCCTGCATCTGTGAAGTTCATGTTGTCCCTGAAATCCACATGCAGGGACGTGAGCTGCTTGGGCAGGTTCTCCCCGAAAGCTTTCAGCCCTGCATCTCTGAGGTTGTTGTTCCACTTGAAATCCACATGCAGGGACGTGAG